GAGAAAGAATCAATAATCCTTCTCTTTTCTTCCTTGATCACACCATATCTGGAGATCTAGTCTCAATTTGGTGTGTCACATTTTAGAAAGGACATTGATAAGTTAGACTCTGGGGGTGGAGAGAAAATGATGAAGAGGATGATGAAGATCTTGAGATCATGTAACATAAGTGTAGTTTAAAGGAATTGAGGATGTTTAACATGGAAAAGAAAAGGCTCAGGGGAAATATGCCAGCTGGTTTTAAGTATTAAAAGACTATGACTTAAGACAGGGAATAGATTTGTTCCTGATCCAACTTGGGAGCAAGGGGTGGAAACTGCAGAGTAATGAATTTAGGCTTGATGTTCAAGAAAAGCTTTCTAATAATTGTTGTTGTTCAGTCATTTTCAGTTGTGTCTGACTGGCTCTTTGTGACCCCATTTGGGTTTTTCTTGGCAAAGCCACTGGAGCAGTTTTCCATTTCCTTCTCCAGCTCATTTTGCAGAGGAGGAAACTGAGGCAAATGGGGTTAAGTGATTTGCCCAGGGTCACACAGCTAGTAAGTGTCTCAGGCCAGATTTGAACTCAGGAAGATGAGTCTTTCTGACTCCAGGCCCAGTACTCTTTCCACTGTACCACCTAGCTGCCTCTTCTAATAATTAGAGACATACAACAATACAACAATAATTGTGTTGCTCCCCAACTTTTCTTCCTACAACCCTAAATAGATGCCAGTGCAGCTTTGTGAAAAGAAGTTCTAACAGGGAATTAAAATAGCACTTACTCTGGGGATAAAAAATGATATTATGTGGTATAGTGCAAGGAGCACTGGGATGTAGAATTAGGAGACCTTGATTCAAATCCCAGAATCCTTAGCTACAACAATTACGCACTAAGTAACTACAAGTAAGCCATTTCACTTCTCTGAGCATTACTTTCCTCATCTGTAAAACAGGAATAATAATTGTTGTTGTTGTCTGGTCATTCATTCGCGTCCAATTCTTTTTGACCTCATGAACTTTTCCATGGGATTTTCTTGGCAAAGATACTGGAGTGGTGTGCCATTTCCTTCTCTTGTCTGTCTCCATTTTATAGATGAAGAACTGAAGCAAATAGGGGTTAAGTGACTTGCCCAGGGTTACACAGTTAGTAAGCGTCTGAGGCCAGATTTTAACTCCGATCTTGACACCAGGCCTGGTGCTCTATCTATTGCATCACCTAGTTGCTCAGAAATAATAATACTTCAATGTAAATCTAACAATTAAATTGCAAGCATTTGTTTAGTTCCTACTATGTGCTAGGCACTGTATTAAGCACTAGAGATACAAAGAGAAAAAAGAAATGATCTACCTGGAGGGGCTCACATTCTACTAGAGCAGACATTCTTAACCTGTTGTCAAGGGACCCTAAAAGGCCTGTGGATAGATTTTAGGAGGTCCAGGATGGCAAAAAAATTACATCTTTGTTTTTACTAACCTCAAACTGAAATTGAGCAGTTTACCAATTATTTGAAAATGTGATTATTTGAAAATTCATAGGTTTTATGCCAAAGGAGTCCACAAAAAGGTTAAAAACCCCTGTAGTAAGGAAAACAATATGGATGTAGATGGCTGGCTAGAGCAAGTGTTAAAGGTTTAGTATAGGCCATACATAATTGTGTACAATATGCATACAGAGCAAATACAGAGTAAATTGGGGGAGGGTTAGAGCATTGAAACTGGGGTTCAGGAGATCAAGTAACTATGTAACAGTTACATAACCTACTTCACTGGATTGTCACAAGGAGAGCACTTTGTAAACCATGAAATGCAATATAATGTTTTATATAAACAGGTTATACAGTACCTGGAACATAGCGCTTAATAATACTTCATCTTTCAATAAATGAGTTATTATTATAGCAGTATTCATGACAGTAGACAGAGTGCTGGTCCCCAAGTCAGGAAGACCTAAGTTCATATTTGGCCTCAGATATTTACTAGCTATGTGACCCTGGGCCAATCACTTAACCCCATTTGCCTCAGTTTCCTCCTCTGTAAAATGAGCTGGAGAGGGAAATGGCAAACCGCTCCAATATCTTTGCCAAGAAGATCCTAAATGGTGTTGTGAAGAGTTGGACACTGCTGAAACGAGTAAATGACAACATTCATGACAGGACAAAAATAGCCCTTTGATTTTAAGATTCCCATAGGTCTTCTCTCCTCTGCCCTGAACTTCCCAGGAGCACAGACCCTGCTCTATTCCAATCAGATTCATCTCTTTATTGTCTTCCACAGGTCATACACATTTTTATGTCAAATGGCTTCCTCTTGTTCTTTGTCAATTCATTTCCTATATTTCAAAGTTCAGGTCAAGCCTCTCCCCCTCCATGAAACTTAAGCACCCTAACTTAATATCAATTTAACTTAAAATCAGAGGAAATTTCCTCTTGTTATAGTGGTATTAGCCCAATCTAATCAAACCAGAATTTAATAAGATCCTGCTATGTACAAAGCACTGTGCTGGGTGCTGAGTATACAAAGAAAAACAAAAAAAAATCCTTAAGGGGTTTCTAAATTCTAAATTTACCTAGAACTTCAATTTACTCAATTTAGTACCTAATTATTTTCTGCCTTGTATTTATTGCTTTGTATTTATCAGTTTCATCCTTCAGTTTGACTATAAACCACCCAAATAAATAGGTAATTGATATTTACATGGCACTTTAAGGTAGATCCTTATGGTGATAGCAGTGTCAGATCAGCAAAGTAAAGGTTCAGAGAAGTCCAGTGATTTGCCCATGATTATAGAGCTAGTAAGAATCCAAGGTAGGAATTGAACCCAAGTCTTTCCTGATTCCAGATCCAATGCTGTTTCTACTATGCTGTTATGCCTTTCTGCAAATACTGACATCCATTTGGCACTGAACAGAATCATTCTTTGTTCTCCTTTCAGACATTTAATTCCTTTATGATTGTGTCATAAAAATCATTTCCATAGGGTCTCTTTTATAGATTTTTTTCAAAAAGTCATTCTTGTATCGGGACAAAGACATGTCTCTATGGGAAAACTACAATGAAAATTAAAGTACAGTGCAATGAAATATAAAGTTAGCCTGAGTAATCCTAGACCCAGAAATATCCCACTTTTCCCAATAGCAATTTCCTCTTCTCCCTATTCTGATTTGGACTACTTGTCAAGTTGAATTTAAATTCAAAACCTCCTGAGAATAAGAAACTTTGAATAACTAAATGGTAAATTATTTGCAAACAGCCAACCCAATGTGCCAATGCAGAAAATCCCGTTATTTTACAGGATTTTGAGTAAGTAATCTGTTTCACTTCTCTGGTTTAGAAAATTATTAAGTACCTTGGTTTGGGGCAGCTAGGTGGCGCAGTGGATAGAGTACCAGGCCTGGAGTCAGGAAGGCTCGTTTTCTTGAGTTCAAGTCTGGCCTCAGACATTTACTTACTAGCTGGGTGACCCTGGGCAAGTGGCTTAACCCTGTTTGCCTCAGTTTCCTCATCTGTAAAATGATCTGGAGAAGGAAATGGCAAATTAATCCAATATCTTTGCCAAGAAAACCCCAAGCGGAGTTACAAAGAGTTGAACACAACTGAAAGGACTGAACAACAACAGCAAAAATCTTGGTTTGGTGTTACTTGACTTCATGTCTGAATCCACATACATTCCTGTAGGCTCACTGGTAGAGGTGGGGGAATTGGAATACTCTGCTCTTCATTGCCCCTTCCAGATTCTCTTCCTACCTTCATCACTCAGTAACCTCTTCTCCTTTGAAGTTAATGTTCATCTCTAAAGCCAGTCAACATCCCAGTAACTGTTGTTTACACATCCACCCACCCACCCCCATCCCCCACCCCAGGACACTCCCCTTCCTTCGTCAATAAGTTATATACATAGCTCACAATTTTTATCTCTTCCTTAACTCCTGTCCTTCCATTAGGAGGCTTTAATATGCATATTGATTCTTCCTCAAACATCTTACCCACTCAACACCTCAACCTTCTCACCTCTCATGAGCTGCTCCTTTACTTAATCTCAGCCACACACAAAGATGGTCATACCCTTGATCTTGCCATTAACCACAAGTGAACCACTTCCATGTTCAAGAATCCCCAAATCCCCTTATCTCACTGTAATCTATTGGCTTTCTACCTCTCTCTCTGTTTTCCTTTACCTACCCCTATTTTTCACCCACATCAAGACCTCCAATCCTTTGACCCCTCAATTTTCTCCTAGGTCATGTCCCCTGCAATAGTCATTCTCTCCTTTCCCCCCCCATTCTTGACCTCTACAACTTTACACCGTCCTCTTAAGTCCCTACCCTGCTTATCATATTGCTGATTGTACCCTGCCAAGCCTCAGCCTTGGATCCCTCACACCATTCTCCACCTTTGTGCTGCTGAATGAAGGTGGAGAAAATCAATTCTGATTGAGTCCACTACAAATCTGTGTTACACAACCTTAACTGGGCCTTCATGGCTGCTAGATAATCCTACTGTATCTCCCTCATCAACTTACTATCCTCCTCTCCACAGTGGCTCTTTTAAACCTTTTCATCCCCCTCAATCCTCCCATGGTTCTCCTTCTCCCCACCCTCTCAGCTGATATCCTTGCCTTTTATTTTTCAGAAAAAAAGGAAGCTATTCAATGCAAGCTTCCTCCTCCCCCCTCTTCTTCATCTCATTTTGCACATATTCCTTCTGCCACTGTCTCCTTCTTCACCCTTGCCCCACGTGATAAGGTGTCCTTACTCCTTACCAAAGCTAATCCCTCTACCAGCTTAAACAATCCCATTCCTTCCCATGTCCTTCAACAATTGCCTCCTCTGTTATCCCCACTCTATCATTTATTTTCAATCTCTCCTTGTCTACTGTCTCTTTCCATACTTCCTACAAACATTCCCATTTATAAAAATAAATTTGAATTTTTCTACTTGGTCCCAGAGAATAGAATTAGTAGCAGTAGGTTTAAGTTGTAAAGATTCAGATCATTAGTTTACATAAGGAAAAACTTCTTACCAGATCAAGTTGCCTTGGGAGGGATGGAGTTACTTTTACCTGTGATTTTCGAGGGATGATTGAATGATCTCTTATTGAAGGGATTCTCTGTTAGGTACAGACTGGGCTAGATGGCTTCTGTGATCCCTTCTAACAAATAGATTCCGTGATCTTGAAGCTAGTCCTTTCCCATCTACAGAAATTCCTGTTTGTTTGGTCAAAATGTCAACACCTATTTATAACTTACCTACAGGCACTATGCTAAGTGCTAGGTATACAAAGAAAAGCAAAAACAAGGTACCTGTCCTCAAGGTGTTCACATTACTCCCTTTCTTGAAGTACTTTCTCTAATACTGTTCCCTGTGTTTCTCAAAATATTCTCCCTTCTTTCCATCCCAACTTTTAAAAAAGTCTTTGGTTTAAAAAAAAAAGTCTTTGGTTTAAAACCTTATAAAATGTATTTTAAAAGTCAAATAAATAAGTGGTAGGGAATATGGATGAGCAACATTATGATATTTTTTTCTATATGTTGGTTAGTTTGGTTGAACTGTTTTTTCTCCTTTTTTATTCTTTGTTACAAGGAATTTCTCTCTGCAAAAAGGGAAAAGGGAAAAAATAGGTAATATAAAATAAAATATATTAACAAAATTTTATTTTTAAAAATCATATCTTTAAACCACTAACAAATAGGGAAGTGCAAATTAAAACAACTCTGAGGTTACTCCTCACACCCATCAGACTGACAAAGTCGACAAAAAAAAAGGCTGCAGGAAACAGGTACATTAATGTGTTGTTAGTGGAACAGTGAATTGGTCTGGCCATTCTGGAAAGCCATTTGGAACTATGACCAAAAAGCTACTAAACTCTGCATATTCTTTCATGCAGTAATACCAGAAGTAGTCCTATACCACAAAGAGATCAGAGAAAGAGGTATAAAAGTATTTATAGAAATTTTTTGTAATGTTAAAGAACTGGAAGCAAAGGACATGTCCATCAATTGGAGAATGGCTGAATAATTATGTCATATAAGTCTAACTATTGTGCCATGAAAAAATGTAAGGATGGTTTCAGAGAAACCTGGGAAGTTTGTGTAAACCAGTGTACACTAAAGTAAGCAGAACCAGAACAATTTGTATGATGACACTGTAAAGATAAACAACTTTGAATGACTTAATCACTCTGCTGGAAATAATGAGCACCCATAATTCCAGAGGACAGATAATGAAGCATACTGCAAGCCTCTTGACAGAGAGATGGTAAACTCAGGGTACAAAATGAAACACATAATTGAAATGAATGTACACTGTCAAGCAAAACAAATACCTGAATTGGCTTAAGTATGTATACTTGTTACAAGGGTTTTGTTTTTCTTCAGTTTGGAGGGTGGAAGGTAGAAAAGAGAAAATGCATTAATTATCAATAATGCATTAATTAACCAAAGTTAATTGATAAAAAATAAAATTTGAAAAAAGTCAAATCCACCCTTCTTAATTACCCCTTGTCCTCCTACTCATTTACTCCTTCAGAGAGCCTGAAGTCATATAAAGCATGTTGCCTTTCCTCAGTACGTCCTATTTCTTAACACAGTCTTTTATTTTGGATTCTTCTAATTTGCCCAAGAGTTAAAATTTGACTAACTAGTCTGTATATCTCAAGGCACCAATGCATAATAACCTCCAATTTATGGAGAATCCCAATTCAGGGCTACAGTATGTGCTTGATATCACACCCACCAAAGAAAAGTGAAATGTGATAAAGATTTACAGCATTTTAGAGCTGGAAGGGACCTTTGGGAGCAATAAGTCCAATTGCCTCATTCTCTCATTTTATAGAGGGGACTACCACCTGCCCATTCTTTATATCTCTTTGTTCACCTTATGTAACACTTCCTAGGGAGGCATGTTGTTAGTACAGCATAGAACCAGAAAAAAATCACCCCACATCTCAAGGGCTAAGCACATCATTCTTTAATTAATAAGTTGGTCTGCATTCAAGATTAAGCTCAGTTAAGTGGACACCCTGTGAACTTATTACTCTATGATTTGCTAAACCTTTCTTTTATCCGCGTTCTGCTTCCTATCAGGTTTTTTTTTTCGTTCTATGTGTAACAGCAGTCCGATTTTCCATGGCCACCTTTATCAATGAAGGTATTTCATTTGCCTTTGCTTAACCTGCTGAGAACCTGGATTGTAAAATATTTTCAGGTAAAACCCTACACTATAACCTTTGACTCTAGTTTGACTTGCTAGTTTGAACTGCAGATTTCACCTGGAAATCCGGCTAAATATAACAAAGAATCAGTTCACGCTCTTGAAATGAGCAGAACCAGGAGAACATTGTACACAATAACAGCCATATTGTGCAATGACTGATTTTGATAGACTCAGCTCTTCTCAGCAATGCAAGGATCTAATTAAGACAACTCCAAAAGACTCACAGTGGAAAATGCTATCTACATCCAGACAAAGAACTATGGAGTCTGAATGCAGGTGGAAGCATACTATTTGCTCTCCTTTTCTTTTGTTGTTTTGTTTTGTTTCTTCTTTCTCATGGTTCCTCCCATCAATTCTAATTCTTCTTTGCATCACGACTAATGGGAAAATATGCTTAATATGAATGTATAAGTAGAGCCTATATCAGATTGCACACCATCTTGGGGATGGGAAAGGAGAGGAAGGGGGAGAAAATTTAAAACTCAAAATCATATGGAAGTGAATGTTGAAAACTAAAAATAAATAAAGTAATTATTTTTCAAAAATCAGTTTACACTCTTAGCTCAAGTCCCTGAAATTTAGTGGGAGGTTATGCTGGGGGTGCGATGGGGCATAGAAGAGACTTCTCTTTGTAATACAGAATGACTGAGTATTCTGTAGATTTTAGCAGATTATTCAGAGAATTCTATGTGGCTTATTTATTTAATCAACTACAGATCTCCCCAAATCCACCACAAAATATCTAATAGGGCTAATCCTTCAGATTTTTTTATCCCCTTTTCAGATAATTCTCTTGCTTATTCAACAAGCAGTCAGAGTAGATGACAACTTTACCTTGCTGCTATTTCAGGGGTAATGAAACAGTACCTCTGTCCCTGCAAAATTTCTTTTTCCAGTTTGGTGTATTATGAAATTTTACCATTGGAACTTTAATTTCTTTAGCATAAGATTTTTTAACCCTTAAAAAATATAAATTCCCCCACTTTACAACTTTTGATTGAATTTATTTTTTTTCATATAAATCTTTGGTCTTTTTAAAAATATAAATTTCTACACTTTAAAGGTTGTGATAAGGAGTGAGCATGATCACTCTGAGGTCTAGGGAAGGAAGGCCTGCCACTGGAAGGAGAGGGAGGGAGGAAAAGGCCAATGTACTGACAGGTAGAAATACCAAGGTAGCCCTCTTCTGCTCCACAGTGTCACCTAAAAGCGTTAGGGAAAAAAAAATGACAGAATCCTGAAGACATTATAGAAATAATGTGCTCCAGAAGGAAATTCCAGACCACAAGTACCTGTCTACAGTAAGGAATGGATTGAGGATGCCAGCTAGAAGACATTCTGGGTTATCACCATCATTGACTTTAACCACCGTGGTCTTTTTAAAAACATTAACACGTTAGTTGATGAAGCTATAGAGAGAAAAAGGTCATAGACTTCTCAACCAGGCAAGAAGTTTTGCATTCATACTCAGACCCTGACCAATCTAGTGTTTGCATACTCCTCACTGGTCTGCCACTCTGCATATCTACAAGAGACAGAACAAAAAGACAGTGGGATTAAACAGGAAGAGGAGAGCAGCTGATTACTTAAAGTAAAGTGCCAGTCTCCTTCAAGGACTCAAACATTTAATACCAACGCCTTATAGAAATTGTTGTATGGTTATAGAGGTATGGAACACATCAGTATTCAAAGAATAGAAAATGACAATATCATGCAGAGGTCAATGGTGGATGCAATCAGCTTGCAATATGTAATCAGTAAGGAGCTTTGAACAAGAACAAAAGCTATCATTAGGGAAATGTGTAATTAATAGGACAGGAAGATTGTTGAAGGTGATGGACCTCATGATGTCAGGAGAAAGTGAGGAAGACCACCCACATATTGGTCATTCCTCAACTCTGACCTTCCCACCCCAGGGACGAACTTACGGGAAGATGTGGACAAGAGTTGCAGGGGATGGGCAGGCAGGGATGGGATACAAGCTGCATTGTTGGAGGAAATATTGACATTGATGAGGTCACACGCAGGGCCACTGGATTATTTTTGCACTCTTGATAATTGTGTTAACACAAGTTCATCAAAAACTGAAAGTTATGGTTCTCACTCCACTTAATTTTTGGCATCTCAATGATAAGCATAAAACACTGGTACAAATATTCACTTGTTTTAATCTAGTGGGAAATATATTTGGTTTCTCTCTCTTTAGTTTCTCATTTTGGGGTGTTTATTTTAGACAGAAAGCTCTGAATTTATACTTAATTGATCCTAAAGTCAAAGCAGAAGTTGGGTTCTTTAGATCCATATGTGTCTCTTAACTGGTCTCTTTGTGATTAAGGCAAGATTTAGTTTACTGGAAACATTTGGGTAATAAAGACAGCAGATTATGTCTGAGGATAGACAGTTATTTTGAGGGAAAGTTGGGGAAAGAGCTGACATTTTCTTGGGACTTCCCTCAGCTTAGATGCTCCTCTCAGCAATGACTAAAGAGCCAAAGAATGTCCTAAATATCTCCCTTCCCTTCAATAGCCCAGTCTTCCCTTTGGTCCAATGTCTCAAATCCAAATGCTCAGAATCTTTTCTTCCCCTACTTTGAGAAATGTCTCCCTAACCTACAAAGTACTCAGGGTATGAATCAGTCTCTCACATAATGGCTTTGATTGATTCAAGGAGGTTTACAGGCCTTGTTCACACTTAGTTCTGGTTGCCTGATTCAATTTTTTAAAAAAGTTTCTCCACTTAGTTAAGGCACCAGAGCCTTGACTTGCTTGAGAACTATGAACTATCTGTAAAAAAAAACTGTCATTTGTTGTTACAAAGAGCAGATAAGAAAATGCAGCTAATGAAGGAATTATAAGACCAAACTATTGGGATTTCCTGTAAGTTGGAAGACCATTTGCCCAAGGCCCACAAACTTACACTCACCCCTTCCTTTGGTTTCTGTAAAGCCAAGGAATCTAGCTTGGATGTCCATTCTACTTCT